ATTGTCCAACTCTCTGATGCATAACAAGTGATTGCAAAGACCATGGCCTGTATCAGACACACCTTAGTCTCCAGAGTGACACCATTGCTCTTCAGTACCCTGGAGAGGTCCCTAACAACAGACTTTCCCATCGCAATAAGTATTTTAATTTCCTGGCTGCTGGTGGCAAGAATGTTGACTGTGGAGCCAAGCAAACTAAAACTGAATAATCTCAATCTCTTCACCATCCATCCTGATGCTGCCAATTGGTTCAGTGGTGAAACATTGAGTCTCAATCCACATTGAAGGCTGTAGTACTTGACTCTCTTCAGCATGCGCTTCAGGTCCTCCTCGGCTTCAGCAAGCAAGGTTGTATCATCTGCTTAGTGCAGATTGTTGATATATCTTCCACCAATCCTGATGCCACATCTGTTTTGCATACAGGTTGAATAAGTACGGAGACAGGACACATCCCTGGCTTACGCTCTTCCCAATTTTGAGCCATGCAGTGTTTCCTTGCTCTGTTCTAACAACTGCCTCTTGGTCCAAGTATAGGTTAACATTAGCAGTTCTCAGGAGAGCAGTCCTCAGGAGGGCAGTTCATAACAATGGGCACACACATAAAAAAGGAAGAAAGAAGAATCCATTATCTAACTCAACACTTTCACCAGATAGAAAACAACAACAACAGCAACAATCTTATCTTACAGCCTCTAGAATAAAAAAAAATTATAAAGACAGCTGAAATTAATGAGATAGAAAACAGAAAAACAATTAAAACCATCAATAAGACTAGGAGCTGTTTCTTCGAAAGGGTCAATAAAATTGACAAATCACCAGCAAACTTCAAAACAAAAGAAAACAAAACAAAAAACAAACAAACAGATAACTCAATTAAGAAATGACCGGGGTTACACAGTCGACAACTTGTCAGTCCCAGAGCACAGACTCCTTTACACAGTCACCGCCGCCGGTTCAGACCCTCCACCCCCAACTCACCATAGCGTGACATCGCTGCGCTGGTGGTTGACAACGGCTTCGGCATGTGTAAGGCCGGCTTCGTGGGCGATGACACCCCTCAGGTTGTCTTCCTCTCCATCGTGAGGCGCCCTCAGCACCAGGACATGATGGTGGGCGTGGGCCAGAAGGACTCCTACTTGGGGGAGGAATCCCAGAGCAAGAGAGGCATCCTGACCTTCAAGTACCCCATTGAGCATAGCATTGTCACCAACTGGGACGACATGAAGAAGATCTAGCACCACACTTTCTACAACGAGCTGCGTGTGGCCCCCGAAGGGCACTCTGTGCTGCTGACGGAGGACCCCTGAACCCCCAAGGATAACCGGGAGAAGATGACCTAGATCATGTTTGAGACCTTCAACACCCCTACCATGTACGTGGCCATCCAGGCCATGCTGTCCCTGTATACTTCTGGCCAAACCACTGGCATTGTGATGGATTCCTGAGATGGGGTTACCCACACTGTGCCCATCTACAAGGTAAGATACTAACCGAGCGAGGCTACAGCTTCACCACCACAGTTGAACGGGACTTGTGCGTGACATCAAGGAGAAACTCTGTTATGTTGCTCTGGACTTGGAGCAGGAGATGGCCACGGCGGCTTCCCCGTCCTCCTTGGAGAAGAACTATGAGCTGCCAGATGGGCAGGTCATCACCATTGGCAATGAGCGTTTCCGCCGCCCTGAGGCACTCTTCCAAGCCTTCCTTCCTGGGCTTGGAGTCTTGTGACATCCATGAAACTACCTTCAACTCCATCATGAAGTATGATGTTGACATCCACAAGGACCTCTACGCCAACACAGTGCTGTCTGGCAGGACCACCACGTACCCAGGCATCACTGACAGGATACAGAAGGAGATCACAGCGCTGGCCCCCAGCACGATGAAGATCAAGATCATCGCTCCCCCTGAGCGCAAATACTCCATGTGGATTGGTGGCTCCATCCTGGCCTCTCTGTTCACCTTCCAGCAGATGTGGATCAGCAAGCAGGAGTACGACGAATCTGGCCCCTCCATCATCCACCGCAAATGCTTCTAGGCGGACTGTTTAGTTGTGTTACACCCTTTCTTGATAACAAAACCCAACTTGCGCAGAAAAAACAAACAAACAAACACAAAGGATGAGACTTGGAATGGCTTTTTTTTCTCGCTTAACTCGGGATTTAAAAACTGGAACCGTGAGGTTGACCGCAGTTGGTGTGGAGCAAGAATCCCTCCAGTTCTCCAATGTGGTCCAGGACTTTGATTGTACATTGTTCACTTTTTTTAAAATAGTCATTCCAAATAATCTCAACATGGCTATGTGACAGGACGCTCCTGCCTTTCCAAAAGCCTCTCCCTTCCCCTAAGCAGAAGAGCCCTGTCCTTCACCAGGTTCATGCATGGACAGGGGTGGTAGGGAGCATTGCTTTTATGTAAATTATATATAATCCAATTTTGTTGTTGTTGTTAAAAAATCCTTCCGCCTTAATACTTGTTCTTTAGGTTTTGTTTTCAATAGTCAGCTATTGGAGGCCCTACTTCATTTGGGCCCTTGCCCTTCCCCTCAACTCTAGAAATATGAAGGCTTTTGGTCTCCCTGGGGTGGCTGAGATGTGGAGGCAGCCAGGGCATTACCTGTACCCTGACTTGAGACCAGTTGAATAAAAGTGCACACCTTTTAAAAAAATGACAGGGGTGACATCACGGAAGAATCAGATCAAATTAAATTGATAATACCAGAATACTATGAAAACTATACTCTGATAATTTAAAAAAAAACAAAGAAAATGGACTAATTCCTTGAATTCCCTACAGCTATAACAAGGACAGATGTAGAACACTTGAACAGACCCATCACAGGAGAAGAAATTGAAAATATCATAACAAATACTTCCACAATAGGAAACTCCTTTATCAGATGGCTTCACAGCTGAATTCTACCAAACATTCAGGGCGGATCTATCACCAATTCTACTTAAATATTATTAAAAGGGGGCGGGCCTCTAGAGCGTAGGCAGGGCGGGGACCCGGATGTGTGTGGTGGCGGTGGCCGGAGAGCTAGTGAGCGGGGATGAGAGGCCTATGGATGAGGAGGACTCGGAGGCCCCGGTTTGTTCTCATGAACAAGATGGATGATCTCAACCTGCACTACCGGTTTCTGAATTGGCGCCGGCGGATCTGGGAGATTCGGGAGGTGCGGGCTTTCAGATGCCAGGAGAGGTTCAAGCACATCCTTGTAGACGGAGATACTTTGAGTTACCATGGAAACTCCAGTGAAGTTGGCTGCTATGTGGCTTCTCGACCCTTGACCAAGGACAGCAATTATTTTGAGGTGTCTATTGTGGACAGTGGGGTTCGGGGGACCATTACTGTGGGACTGGACCCTCAGTACTACAGCTTGCATCACCAGCCTGGCTGGTTGCCGGACTCTGTAGCCTACCATGCTGATGATGGCAAGCTGTATAATGGCCGAGCCAAGGGCCATCAGTTCGGGTCAAAATGTAATTCTGGAGACCAAATTGGCTGTGGCATTGAGCCTGTATCTTTTGATGTGCAGACTGCTCAGATCTTCTTCACCAAAAATGGAAAACGGGTGGGGTCCACAATCATGCCCATGTCCCCGGATGGACTTTTTCCAGCAGTAGGCATGCACTCTCTGGGTGAAGAGGTGTGGCTGCACCTCAATGCTGAGCTGGGCCGAGAAGATGACAGTGTCATGATGGTAGACAGTTGCGAGGATGAGTGGGGCCGGCTGCATGACGTCAGAGTCTGTGAAACTCTGCTGGAATACTTGGGCAAGGGCAAGAGCATCGTTGACATGGGACTGGCCCAGGCCTGGTATCCACTGAGCACTCGCAGTCACTACTTCGAGGTGGAGATTGTGGACCCTGGAGAGAAATGCTACATCGCGTTGGGGCTGGCTCAGAAGGATTATCCCAAGAACAGGCATCCTGGATGGAGCCGACGGTCCGTGGCCTATCATGCTAGATTGATGATGGCAAGATCTTTCATGGCAGTGGTGTAGGGGACCCCTTTGGGCCCCGCTGTTACAAAGGAGACATTATGGGCTGTGGAATCATGTTCCCCTGAGACTACGTTCTGGACAGCGAGGGTGACAGTGATGACAGTTGTGACACAGTGATCCTGTCCCCAACTGCTCGGGCTGTCCGGAACGTCAGGAATGTCATGTACCTGCACCAGGAGGGAGAGCAGGAAGAGGAAGAAGATGGAAAAGAACTCGAGCAAGAGCATGAGGGCAAGAAGGTGGTGGTTTTCTTCACTCAGAATGGCAAGATCGTCGGGAAGAAGGATGCTGTTGTACCTTCTGGGGGCTTCTTCCCCACCATTGGAATGCTGAGTTGTGGGGAGAAAGTCAAAGTGGACCTACACCCCTTGAGTGGCTAGGGACTCTTCCCAGGTCCTGCCCCTTCTCCCTCTGCTCACCCTTTGCAGGACCAAGCGCCCAGTTCCTGACATGCATAAGGATGTGCTTCTCCGTTAGGCCCCGGGAGCTGCTTAGGCATCCTGCCTCCTGCCATGTTAGCCCCTGTGCCCCTCTCTGACCTGGTGCTGCTCCTATAACAGTCTCTAGGCCTGAGTCCTACTTGGACAGGAAGACACCCCAGAAACGGTATTGAGTGGACCAGACCCCATTATGCACTGGCTTCATGTGAGTAGAGAGGAGCAAGCACCCCATTTTTTTTGGCTACTATTTGGGCATGCTCCTTTGCAAAGGCCCAGGGTAGAGCTATCCCTTCCCCTTACCACAGTATTTCTCCTTATGTTCTCCTCTTTCAACTTCCCCATCTGCATCATGTGAACCAGTTGATGCTGTCATCCCCCTGGCTGGGCTGGGGGGCTCTCTGGGGCCCATCTCTGTTTTACTGGCTACTGTCCTAAGAAGACTCCTCTGGTGTCTCCGTTCTCTCCCCGAGAGCTGACTTTTCTTCTTGGTGCCTGCTTAGGCCCTGCTGTCCCACAGAGAAGTCAGAGTCTCCCTGCCCCTTGGTTCCTTGTGCACACATAGAAGGGTTCATATTTCATGCTAAAGCAAGGGCTTAAAGTCCAGGGGAGCTAGGACCTTTGCTCCTGTCTTCCCTTTCCCATTCTTTGCTCATCTGTGACACCCTTGCCCCTCAATTCCTGGGACAAGGCTGAAGCCCTGGGGCATTTCTTTCCTGCTGTGGAGAGGGCAAGGTCTCAGATCCTTCACCGTGAGGGATAGCTTGGTCCCTTCTAGCCCTTACCTGCCACCCTGGCCAACCCCCCAATACTCCCAGCTTGCTGCTTGTGCCAATTACCTGTTTTGCTTCAGTGTTTGATTCTAGCATTTCCATGTGTCCTCCCCCACCAAGCCCTCCTATTTATTCCTTCCCACTTAACTCAGTCCCCTCCCCAGTGACATCTCCTGGGAGGAATAGGAAGCAGGAGCCAGTGGCCTTGGTTTGCACAAAAGTGGATAGGGCTTTGAGACAAGTAGGTGAATTGTCATGCTGCTGAGGTCTCTCCTTGGCCCTCCGTTCAGGCCCTGCACTATGATATATGAAATGTATGTACAGACCAGATGTTTATACAGCCAATAAAGACGGAGTTTCCATATTTATCAGAAAAAATATTTAAAAAAATTGAAAATGAAGGAATACTTCCAGAGTCATTCAACGAAGCAAGCATAACCCTAATACCAATACCAAGCAAAGATATTACCAAGAAAGAAAACCCACAAAAACAAAACAAAACAAAAAAACCCAAACAGAATTGATAATGTTAAGTGAATTTAGAATCCGCAAATATATTTATAGCTAATACATATACATATATAGTGGCAAGAAGCTGCCCTGCAGTACTGAAGACATATGGTTTGAGGCCACAGGCTGTTCCATGGTAGAAGGATAGGCAATTTCCTCCCCTGTTATTAACTGCCTCTGAAAACCTGCTGGAGGGTCAGTTATGTGTAGGTTCTGGCTCTATGGTACGCAGCAACACTATATTCATGTTTTGTATATACATATATGATCTGTATATGTATATACACATATGGTTTCTCTCTCTCTCTCTCTCTCTCTCTGACATGTAGTTGCTGTTGTTGTTGTCAGGAGCTATTGAGTGGAGAACCTATGAACAGCAGATCTGAATCTTGTCCTATCCTGTGCCATCTTCACACTACCTGATACACTGGAGCCCATTGCAGCACTCACATATGAATCCAGCCAGTTGAAGGCATCCTCTCCTTCGCCAACCCTCCACCCTTCCAAGCACCATATTCATCTCCAAGGAATAGCCCCTACTAGTAAAAAAGTCCAAGGTATATGAGTCAAAGTTTCATTATTTTTGCCTCCAAAGAGCACTCGTGTGTACCCTCTCCAAGACATATTTATTTGTTCTTTAATTATTTGTTCAGTTCTTTTCTTCAACACCACAACTCAAAGACATCATTTTTTTCTCTTCTGTTGTCCCTATTCATTGTCCAGCTCTCAGATGTATAGCAAGTGATTGAAAAGACCATGGTCTGAATCAGACACACCTTAGTCCTTAAACTGACATTATTTCTCCTCAATAATTTGGAGAGTTCCCTAATGTCAATCTTTTTCAGTACATCTCCTGATTTCCCAACTGTTGGTATCAAGCTTATTAACAGTGGACCAATTCAATCTTTTCTCCATCCATCATAATATTGCCTATTAATCCAGTGGTAAGAATTATTTTTCTTTTCTTTACAATGAGATGCAATACAAATTGAAGGCTGCATTCCTTGATCCTCTTCAACAACTACATCAAGTCCTCCTTACTTTCAGCAAGTAAGATTGTGTCATTATTGATAAGCCTCCCGCAGATCCTAATGCCACATTCTTCTTCCTAGTGTCCAGCTTCTCAGATAATTTGCTTAGATACAAATTACATAGGTATAGAAAAAGAATACAACCCTGATGCACTCCCGACTTATTTGCAAACCATGTAGTGTTCCTCCACTGAATTTGTATTAGCCTCCTGATCCAGGTATAGGTTTCATAGGACCAAAACTAAGTGTTCTGGTGTTCCCATTTGTCTCAATCTCAACCA